TTAATGAGATCATGAAACAAATGCACATACATATTGTGACATGATGTACCTTGTGTGTGTGAAGTTTGAACTCGATCAATCCAAGCATGTCTCAGATACGGATCCAGAACTGAATTCTTTAAAACAAAATGGCCGCCAGTCGGCCATTTCGAACCCGATCCAAAAAAAAAAATGACGTGCATCAAGGTCCTATTATGTTTAATGTATGTACCAAATTTGAACAAAATCCGTCCATGCATAACTGAGATCCGGGTCCGGAATGGTGAAAATGTGCGATTTTGATGCATTTTCGGCCTTAAAATGGCCGCTATTCGGCTATCGTTAATCAGATCATGAAAAAAATGCATGTGCATATGTCCCATATAATGTGTGATGTATGAGTGAAGTTTGAACTCAATCGGTCCATGCATGTTCGAGATACAGGTGATCACGGACGCACGGACGCACGGACGCACGGACGCACGGACGCACACAGGGCAAAACATAAGTCCCCGTTTTCGGACTGCGTCCGAACGGGGACTAAAAAATCTGAAATCAAGTTATTTTGGGAAACATGCTATCTATAATAAAAAAGACCCTAACCTCCACATAACAATATGGGAAAATATTCCCCATTCATCTCAGTCACGAGATGAATACACGTTACACGAGGCATGATATGTAGGTTGGCCATAAAACAGAGAATCCTGGAACCCCAATTTCCAGAATTAGTTAATCAGTAATTCATAATTTATTTCACATCAAAAAAATATCCTAAACACTTTTCTACATCCCAAATTTATGATCTGCTCAATACAAAAACACAACCAATTATGATTGATAAAACCAAATGATCCACTGGGATAAAGGTATGTCAAGAAGACTAGATCTGCAGTAATTTTGTATTTGCACAGTTACTGAGCAATTGTAAGAATTGAAAAACTAGCAGATTTTAAATTTACGATCATTTAAGATAGCTTGAATTTAAATTCTGATTTTTAACTAGTTCTGAGATTCTTGGATTCCTGGTTTGCTGGTAATTGAAGTAATAGTATTAATGAATGCAATATTTTTGTAAAAAGTATAAGCGTTGTTCACCTCTGCATAATACTGTAAAAGGGTTAATTATTCACTGGGTTTTTATTTCGTTGACTTGAAAACGTGCTAAATTAAAACCCAGTGAATATGTAAAATTGAGCATAGAACCAATTATCCAAATGATCAAATTGTGAATTTAAAACCCGCTGAATATGCCTGAAATGCTAAATCAGTGAAATTTAAACCCAGTGAAAATTAGTAATTTTACAGTAAGTGCATTGTGTAAAAACCAATCATGACAGACATTTTACTGCATTAAATAGAATACTACTAGACTAGTAAACAGTCTCTGATTGGTCACTATTTTCATCAGAGGTGGGAACATAATTTACATACTATTCCAGAGAGATGATATCTGGCAGGAAGTGAACAACGCCTACACCAATTATCAGATTTGAGATTGGAATAAAAAGTACACACAGTAGGAAATAAGCCCCTGATATGACTAGTGCCTGCAGTCGTGCATTGCATGCTCACCTGAATGTATGTCTGTCATGTAGTTAGCTATAATATAAAATAATTACAATATTTAACAAAATCGTCATGACTACACATTTGCCAGTATGGTACAGTGGATGGAAGAAGCTGGGACATGGATACCATACAGATAGAGTACATATGGTACAGCAGGTGGGAAAAGGTGGAACATGGGTACGATAAAGATAGAATACATATGGTACAGTGGTTGAAAGAGGGTACAGTTGGTGAAAGTAGGTGGAACATAGGTACCACACAAATAAAATGTATATGGTACAGCTGGTAGAAGAGGGTAGGGGACATGGATACTATACAGATAGAATACATATGGTACAGTGGGTGAAAGAGGGTATAGTGGGTGAAAGAGGGTACAGTGGGTGAAAGAGGGCAGAACATGGGTACCATAAAATGTATATGGTACAGTTGGTAGAAGAGGGTAGGGGACATGGATACTATACAGTTAGAATACATATGGTACAGTGGTTGAAAGAGGGTACACATGGGTACCATACAGATAAAATGTATATGGTACAGTTGGTAGAAGAGGGTAGGGGACATAGATACTATATACAGATAGAATACATATGGTACAGTGGTTGAAAGAGGGTACAGTTGGTGAAAGAGGGTGGAACATGGGTACCATACAGATAGAATACATATGGTACAGTGGGTGAAAGAGGGCAGAACATGGTACCATACAGATAAAATGTATATGGTACAGTTGGTAGAAGAGGGTAGGGGACATGGATACTATACAGTTAGAATACATATGGTACAGTGGTTGAAAGAGGGTGGAACATAGGTACCATACAGATAAAATGTATATGGTACAGTTGGTAGAAGAAGGTAGGGGACATAGATACTATACAGATAGAATACATATGGTACAGTGGTTGAAAGAGGGTACAGTGGGTGAAAGAGGGTGGAACATGGGTACCATACAGATAAAATGTGTATGATACAGTTGGTAGAAGAGGGTAATAATAATAATAATCATCTTTATTGTTATCGTATCCTCTATGGGACTTTGATTGAAGAATACAATAAAGGTATAGCAATGGAAAAAAAAAAAAAAATTAAATGAGATTAATAGAGTATAAAACAAAGGTATTAATAAAATATAATAAATGAAAGTAAATGTTTTTTATTCATTTTGAGGCAGCTGGTAGTACTTTTTTCAGGTTGTTCTCCCTGATTTTAAAACAATCATCTATGTACTTAGCAATTTGAGGAGCTAATTTTTTACTACCATTGTTTAGTATTGCAACTATTTTTTCTTTGTCAGGAAGTTTTGAAGGTAGCATCAAATTTTT